TTACTAAGAACTACGGTACTTGGCCAGAAAACGGGGCAGTTCAACAGGCAAAAAATGGTTAGATGACTCAGTGTGTTGGGTACCTGGTTGGGGAGGTTGAGAGTTCAATTCCCCCTCTGTGCCTCCAGGGAGAAGGGCCAGCCTGGGTGGCCTTGGGCAAGCTGCTCAGTCCCAGGGTGCCCCCTGGAGGATGGGAAGGGGAAAACACTTCCGATTTTATTTTTTTTACCTAAAAAAACTTGGAAAGGGTTGCCATAAGCTAAAACGGTTTCGACAGCACACAATTATTATTAAGCCAAGTACAAGAAAGATGTAAGATTTAAGATGACGGATGCTTGATTTAGAAAGTGCATTCAGGACTGGAAATAGGCTTGGTCTGAAGAATGCGGTGGCAATCTAGAACTGGAAAAAAACATCTATTTTCCTGCAAGCTAAGGCGGCTTCCTTTTCTCTCTCAGACAGGGGTGGTCAATGTACAATCTGCAGGCCAGATGTGGCCCTTTGCATTCTTTTCATGTATGCCCCCAGGGGTTACCTTGTGAACCCCCCGCAGCTGGCTTCCACCACCAATTCGATGGTTGGGATTTGGCCAAAAAAAGTGCAGAAAGCTACTCTTCTGTTTTAAACAGGCCGTTCTGCCCCCAACCCCACCCGGAATAAGGCATGCATTCTTTATTTGTGTTCTTTAGGGGAAGAATTTCTTTCCTGAAAGCATGAACAAGGTAGACAGAGAATGTGAATTTGAAAGACAAGGTGCCCCCTTTCCAGCGACAACCATCAACAGCAGGACCAGCAGCGTAGCATGGCTCTCCATAGGTTCCTGAGCCAAACCGTCAACCAGCTCTTTGGATGTTGGCCATCTTTGTGTCGGAGATGCTCCTGTGCCTTTAAAAGCGGCACAACTAACCATCTCAACAGGTACACCTCCCCCTGTTCCATTAACATCTCCCTGCCTTGAAAACTTTCACCTGCCGAATTTCTGCCTGCTGTGATACTGTTGAAAGCCACACTCCTCTCACGGGGAAGAAAAAGCAGCAGAGGTTAAGAATGCAAGATTCTTGCACTAAGTGTGGAATTTAAGATCTTGGCAAGCAGTACAGTCTGGAAACTAGCCATGCTTCTAAATTTTCCCCTATTCGCTAAGGAACACAGAATAATTTTGGAAGCTCTCTCTCGCTTTCTCTCTGTGTGTGTGCGTGACCTCAGTCACTGTCAATTTATGAGACTTTTTACAGCTCCAGGCTTTCAAACTGTGCCCAAAATGTTCTTGGGAGGGAGATACTCAAGAATCCATCCTGGCACACCGACAAATTTTGACTCTCTCTGCCTCAATGGGTCAGATCTTGTAATGTATTTATCGCATTCCAGTTTCAGCACATAGATAAGAAAGGATCGGATGGCGCCGTTTTTTGACAGGATTGTCCGATCTCACACTACCCTGCCTCAACGAGGCCTTAAACTGGGCCATATCTGCTCGCCGTCCCAAGTGGGAAGCCATCTTTTCCCTCAGCAGGTCAAGGAAGCAGGGAACATGTTTGTAAAAAAAAACAACAACAAAAAATACAGACTGTTGCTCATTCACCACTGAATGTGGCCAAAATGTGAAACTGAGAACAGTCGGTCCTCGGGGTCTCCTCCAGACAGAACTGATCCAGGGATTCTGGATTTCAGAGCTAAATGTGTTTTGATAAGTAAGGCGTGCAAATTTCCCTCGGGGAGGTTCTGCATGACCCTGCAAAACTTTGCCTGAACCGAAACACAAAGTGAAACCTGACGTGCCTGCTGAGGAACACATGAAGGAAGGAAGGAAGGAAGGAAGGAAGGAAGGAAGGAAGGAAGGGAGAGGAAGGAAGGAGCTGATGATGGATGAGAGGAAGGAAGGAAGGAAGGAAGGAAGGAAGGAAGGAGCTGATGATGATGGAAAGGAAGGAAGGAGGCATTTTTGCAGGAAGGCCAAAGACCTGAGGAATTTCTTGAGAGGGTCAGGTGGAAACCAGTTCATGCTCTCCTACATGATGGTGTTTGAGGGAGAAACCAGACCTGATGGGGGCGGCTGATTTAGTGACCCCTATACCCATCTTGCTCACATAAAATGCAATGGCTAGTGGGCTCTTGTTTGAAACAAAAAAGTATGCCTGAGTGAGGATTTGTTTATTAGAACACTGTCATTTTGACTGGACCTTTCTAATAGTCAGCGTGGCTTGATTTTCTTAATCATTGTCCCATAGAACCAGAGGATATATTTTTCAAAACAGCGTCCCCCATCAGCCCACCCCACCAAGGGCTCTTTCTAAAGAATAAAATAATGTGCATATATGGATGTACGTGAGGGAGCCTTCCACAGTCACGCTCTTGATCTGATGGGCTACACCCACCACCGCTCTTAGCAAGCCTGGGCATCCAGGCTGGTTGGGGATGATGGCACATGTAGTCCAATACAGCTGGAGGATGGTGGGGAGGGAAAGCTGCTTGATGACCCTGACACTGTATGCTAGCTGTGCCTGGATGCATTTTGAAAGAGACATTGTTCCAGAGGTTACTTTGTTTTGGACTACAACATCCAGGATATGTGGTCCGTTGAAGACTTGAAAGTCCCCCCTCCCCCCAAAAAAGAAGGTTATTTTTCCCCACCTCTGGGCTCTACAGGGCTATTTTCTCAGCTGTGGTCATGATTTGGACTACAACATCCAGGATATGTGGTCTGTTGAAGACTTGAAAGTCCCCTCCCCCCAAAAAAAGGTTATTTTTCCCCACCTCTGGGCTCCACAGGGCTATTTTCTCAGCTGTGGTCATGAGAATCAAACTTCTGCTCTCCACTGGTGACTGTATTTATGGACACCGCAGTTACATTAAATGCCCCACAACTGATAAATATTGATCTTGACATGGGAATGCTAGCAAGCCTAGATGCATTCAGTGGATGCTCAGAATTATAGGTACATTTCCACACCTGCCAGACATAGCAAAAATAAACACTCATTTTTATGTTTATGGGACAAACACTATTCCCTTGTGGGAAACAGAGTTCAGATATTCACAAATTTTTCCAGGCTAGCCACGGCAAGCCCTCTTTTCCCCCCAAACCCATGTGAGATGTTTTCCCCCTGAAACAGGGCTTCACTTTAGCAGGAGGTCCCAAACTGGGGAAACTGTTGTATATACATTGTAGACACACATCTCAGCTTGGGAATGGCCCAGTGTTAAAGCAAATGCTGTTACCAGCATTGTTGCTATCGGTAGTACACATGAAGACTGCATGCAGCCTGGGCGGGGGGTGGGGCATGATTCCTGATCTAAGAGTTCCTGGTTAGTTCATATGCTTTTATGTAACTACAGCAGCTATTTTCTCTTTGGTTCTGGGGCTGACCCAAGCCATCTTGCTACCTGAAGCTGACCAACGTATGACATTATTTTTGTTGCATGCTGTCAAGTCACCTCTGACTCATGGCAATCCTATACATGAATGACCTCCAGAAATATTATAAATACAGTGGTGCCTCGCATAGCGACATTAATCCGTTCCAGGAAAAATATCGCTATCCGGAAATGTCACTATGCGGGGGGGAACCCCATAGGAACGCATTACACTCCGTTTAATGCGTTCCTATGGGGACAAAACTCACCGCTAAGTGGGAATCCTCAATCCAGCCGCCATTTTCGCCACCTCGGTAAGCAAGGAATTGGCGCGAAAATGCTGTGGGCAGCCATTTTCTTCTTCCGGCAGCCATTTTGGAACCGCTGGTCAGCTGTTCCAAAACATCGCAATGCGATGGTTCTGGTGCTGACCCAAGCCATCTTGCTACCTGAAGCTGACCAAAGCATGACGTTATTTTTGTTGCATGCTGTCAAGTCACCTCTGACTCCTGGCAATCCTATATATGAATGACCTCCAAAAATATTATAAATAATAATAATCATCCTGTGCCGTCAAAGTCAATTCTGAGTTATGGCCGCAATGCGATCACATTAGCGATCGCAAAAAACGCGTCGCTATGCGGATTTGTTGTTAAACGGTGCACTCGTTAAGCGAGGCACCACTGTAATAATAATCATCCTGTGCCGTCAAGTCAATTCGAGTTATGGTGACCATTTTTTCAAGGCTTTCCCTATAGAGAGTACTCAGAAGAGGTTTACCATTCCCTTCTTCTAGGGCCACCCAGGGATGATGCAGCTTGCCCAAGGCCACAGAGGCTGGCTCTACTCGCAGAGGGCACGGTGGGGAATCAAACTCCCAACCGGGTGCCTAAACCACTGAGCTACGCAGCCAGCCTCCCAAAGTTTGCCCCTTGCTTTTACAGGTCAAGAGGCACAGCACCTGAAGCCAACCAAATTCTTTGGATACTTTTTGTGCATGAGCTAGGAAGACCTGTAAGTACCTCCTTCCATCCTTGGCTTTAAAAATAACATCATAATAAAGTAAATCATTAACTATCGGCTGCCTTTGCCTCTCTCATGAGAAGAGCAGACTCCCTGGAAAAGACCCTGATGTTGGGAAAGTGTGAAGGCAAGAGGAGAAGGGGATGGCAGAGGACGAGATGGTTGGGCAGTGTCAACGAAGCGACCAACAGGAATTTGACCCAACTCCGGGAGGCCGTGGAAGACAGGAGGGCCTGGAGTGCTCTGGTCCATGGGGTCACGAAGAGTCAGACACGACTTAATGATTAAGGACTAAACAACAACAACAACAGCCTTTGCCTCAACACCTCAGGTCTGCTGGCTGAAGCGCTCACCTCACGCGGCCTGACAGCAAGACACAGGCCTACGAGAAAGGGAGAACCTTCAGCCTCCCTCGTCACAAACGTTTGGAACCTTGCTTTGTGGTTACAGCCTGATGAGGGGAGGAAAACGCTTTTCACTTGCTCAGAGCTCTGTGCGAACCTTTAAAAAGAGTGTCCCTCCAAAGCAGGGCTCGAGAACCTTCAGAATCCGATTAAAAGCCTATTTCAAAAACAAGGAAAGCTCTCGCTAAGCAGGAAGGGAGAGAGGTGAGCCCCACATACCTTGCCACGCATCTCCCCATGAGGGTTGGCTTTCGTGCTGACTTGCAGGAAGGCCGTGCCCTGGGCCAGGTGGCGAAGCAGCTCCCCATCCAGGTCCTTCACGACCCCTTGAGCCTGTGTGGGCCAGAAAAGGGCATCAATCAGTCTCCTAGCACAGGGTAGTAATCTCAGTCTTAATATCTTACCCAAACCAATTCTTGGCAAAGACGTAAACGAGAGTGCCATTTAGCCTTGGCCAACTTTCAAAGCACAAGTTTCTGAGCTATCAGGAGGCCTGCTTGGAATGCCAATTTCCAAAGCAAAATAAATGAACGAACACAGAACTGGATGCATTCAAAGCGGTCTCGTCACTCTGCCCATGCGGTCAAGGTAAGCCTTAAAAACACCATTCCAATGGTTTGGAATGGACCCTTCCAGCCCAATACGGCTTCCATCAGCAGCAACCAGATGGCCCCTGTGAAGGAGATAGATGGCCAGAGTCCAGCAGGCGAATCTACGCGGCCTGGGACTCAGCATGGAATCACAGAGCCGAAAAGGAGCACAAAGATCATCAGGTCCGACTCGTCCAAGTTCAGGAAATCAAAACATTCCTAATTTGTAGTTATCGTCCTGGCAAGCCGCAGAGCTTGGAAGCGTTCCTGCCATCTTGCTGGCTGCTGGATTCTGGAGATTCCCTCCCAAAGAGAACTTCTGACAGCTCCCTGGGAAACCAGGGCGATCAACTTTTCCTTTTTAAACGTGGTATTTAACGGTCACGGGGGATTTTGACAAGCGCCTCTTCCACAAATTTCTCAGTTTTTCAAAAGCAAAAAAAACAGAAACAACACCCGTAGCCATAACGGCTGGCAGCGAGTCCCCTACCTCGGAGCCCAGGCAAATTAAGGACATTCCGTCAGAAAGGTCCCCTACCAGACCTTCCATGTCCTTCCCCCGGAGAAGCCTCACCTCAGTGCCGTAGAAGCCCCGGAGCATCCGCTTGTGCTCTCTGAGGCTGCTCTCGGCCAGCTCGCCCAGTTCAGCAAAGCCGTGCAGGTGAGCGCTGACGGTGCCGTCGTCTGCCCTGCCGAGGCCAGCCACCACAATCTCATAGTGCAGGTGGCAATGGTCGTCCAGGGAAACCCAGGCGTGCCCTGCGGATCCGGTGCGGACGGGCGGGGACACGTACTGGCCAGCGAGGGGCAGTGGAAGCTCTGTAGCACAAAGAGGTCAGAAGCTGCAGTAAACTCAAAAAGATCCATTTATTGCCCACGGTCCAGGCTGAGTAGATCGAAAGCCTGGGAAAGGGGCATCCCCCCCCCCTTGAGTTTTCACGATCATAATTAGAGACGGGCATGGACTTGCAAAATGGAGGTGCACGATGGTTTGGGGTTCGTTGCTCTGCGAACCGCAAATTTTCGTGAACTTTTTTCCAACACAACGTTGCATGGTTTGTGTGACTCAAAAACTCCAGGAACTGTAGAACAGCCCCTGCATGAGCTAGAGATGCCAAATTGCCAAAAAATCTTCAGCTCACTTGCCGCTCTATCCCCTCAAAGTTTGGTGAAGATTGGATTTGGGACTTCTGAGTTATAGCCCCCCCTCCCAAAGTAGGTTTCCTGGGGGGGAAACTGCTTTGGGAGGTTACAACTTAGATGTCCCAAATCCAGTATTTTCCAAACGTGGAGGGCATGGGGACAAGTGAGTGAGCCCAAAAATCAGGCAAAGTTTGGTGAAGATTGGATTTGGGATGTCCAACTTATAGCCTGCATATGAATTGCCAACACCAACAACAGTTCAACACGTCATTTTATTCTGGGCAGGCATGTTTCCCTGAAATTAACTATGAAACGGTCCAATTCATGTCCCCCCCCCCTTCATGGTTCATTCTCTGCCCAACTCCACACTTGGCGTGTGGTCAAACAGCTGCAAAGACATGCCGTTGATCACGCCAGACAGGAGAGAGCGTTAGCAGGAGCAATCTCCCTTAAAACTACCCGTTCATCTGCCAGGGAATTAGTGCAGCCCGTCCTTCAAAAGTAGAAGCCCTACAGGTTTCCCCATGTGTTGTCTGATGGCCGGGAAATAGTAATGAATTAGTAACTTTCCAGTTTATGCACTCTTCTCCTTCCTTGTTTACCTCCATACGCTGTATTACCTTTTCCCTCTGCAATGGCTGGGAAATACTGGGAATTAAGGTGGGAAAAACAGCAACTTTCCATACCTCTGAACTGCCTCCAGCTCTAAAGGCTAGGCCAGCCCTCCCTTCTTCTGCTCAACTGGCTATTTGAATGGGCTCCTGATATTTAAAGGGCGCATTCTATTAACTGAGAGTCTTCTTCATAACCTTCCCAAGTATAAATACTCTTGGGTACAGAGGGATTAAGAAGGAAAAGCCTGACCCATAAAATACTGGGTTTTGGCAGGAGAGTTTCCTTTGTTGAGTTGTGATTGTGTCAGCTGAGCCAGAGAGGTGGAGCCCCAGGTTCAGAATGTGAACATTCAAACTGCTTGGAGAAGAGTATGGAAGAGTGTTTGCACTCCGATTTGTGAGAGGGAAAGGCAGAGCAGAGTCGGGCTGGGATCAAAACGTTGTGCACAACCTTTGGAGGGAAACAGGAATAACAAGGAAGATAGTCTCATGAGCCATCTCCAGAGATCCAGAAGCCAAACACGCCCACACCTGGATTTGGGAGGGTCACTACTGCCCCTGTCATCTCCCATCATCTACCCACATTCTCATTTAATCACAGATTTGAAAACTTTGATTCTTTCTTTAATTGACAGAACCTCCCTCCCCCCACCTCTCTCTCTCTGTGTTTTGGTGGTCTTCTAAAAACACAGTGATGCCTCGCAAGACGAAAATAATTCATTCCGCGAGTCATTTCGTATTGCAAAAATTTCGTCTTGCGAAGCGCGGTTTCCCATAGGAATGTGTTGAAATTTAATTAATGCGTTCCTATTCGTCTTGCAAAGCACGACCATAGAAATATTTGTCTTGCGAGTCACCAGAAAACTCGCAAAACGCTTTTGTCTTGCGAGTTTTTGATTGCGCGAGGCATTCGTCTTGTGAGACATCACGGCATTATAAAAATTTGTGGAGAACCTGTGAAACTCATACGTGTGCAGTACTGCTGGCTCCCATTACTCTTGCCATGGTGTCATCAAAATTCATTCATGCAATGCAGCAAGAGCAAAAATAAAAAACCCCTGAAAACACAGAATGAAACAAAAAACACCATGTTGGACTTCCATGAGATCATGTCCATGTTAAGTGTGGTGCACTAGTCTGAATGTTAGACAGCTACAGCAATCAGATCATACTTCTTGGGATCTGTAGTTCATTGAAGCGCTCAGAATTCTCCGTGAGAGCACGCTAGCGCTGTGGTTCAGCGTGATCCACCCACCCACCCTTCCGCTCTGTGCGCTGGTACCTTGGTATCGTGTTAGGAGTCCACTGTACAGCAGGGAGCTGATCTGGCCGCGCAGCTCCCCTTCCTCAAACTCCCGGGTGGCCACATTGAGGAAGAGCTCGTTCTGCAGCAGCATGTGGGCCTCACGCCCGTTCATCTGCTCCCAGCGCCCGCTGGCCTGAGATAAACAGAAACAGTTGGAGATGGAATAAACCATTGTTTACCATTATCAATACACGGACATGAAAACAAACCGATCCGCCATTCCTCCACACACACCATCCTTAACTGTTCCCTTCTGTAAGGCTCACCTTTCCGTCCCTATAGCTGGGCGTCATGTCATACAAAATGCTCCGTTTATTCCGTCGGCGGGGCTTCATCTCCAGTGTGATACTGGTCACCTCACTTCCTGTTCCAGCAACCTGGACCTGTGAGAGGGGACCAGAGAAGGAGGTAAGTCATCTTGGGTTCTTTTAAAGGAGAAAGGTGGGATAAAAACAAACGATCAAGCAATGTAACAAGCAATCAATCAAACAAACAAGCAAGCAAACAATCATCTTAGAAGTGCAGACTAGAAGGGACCCCTATGAAACATCGAGTCCGGGAGGCATGGGGAGGAACTGAACACCCAACCTCTGGCTCCACAGCTAGATGTCTAAGCCACTGAACTATCCAGCAGTGTCAAACCAACCAACCAACCAACCAACCAACCAACCAACAAACCAACAAACCAACCAACCAACCAACCAAC